CCACTTCATAAAGACTCACCAGTTTTTGCTCTCCCTTGCCACCTGATTTTAAATACATGTGAGCGGAGTACTTCACTATATATTCTAGGCACTATTTTGTGCATAATATGTCACTGTATATTCTATAATTCTACTTATATATTCTGGTTTTCAGGACCAAGATAAGTACTAACTGCAAGTGCACCTACTGCAAGATTTTTTAAATTTTTTTTTTTGGTACAAAATGTTGGCATCTCTCCCCTTAGGAGGGATTACAATGCAAAAGCATCTTATTCACAAGTCACTGACTTGCATACTTCTGCTACACCAGCCTTCCTACATAGTTCTGCGTCCCAATTTTATTTAAAGCATTCAACAGCATACATTTAATTAGCAAAACAATTCCATCTGTTCTGTGAGTCAATACTGACAACTTTACTGTTAAAATACACGTATTTGTCCCGGTGCAGCTGTGCTTAATCTGACAGGGGGGAAAAGAGCCTGCTGTGCTCAGAGCATCATGTCTAGTGCCCAGGCTCCCATTGCAGGCTGCAGCCCAGCTGGCACCGGGGGGCTCCCAAAGGCCTCCAACAGCCCCATCCCTGGCCAGGGCTGGCCCCTGGGACTCCTAAGTCACCTCTGAAGGCACTTTCCACAGAACCACTGGTAAAACATCCCTTTTTCTGGTGGTTTGCTGAAGTTTTGGCAAGTGACAGAGAAGAACAAGCTCAGATGAAAATGTGAACCAGGCGCCTGGGGCTGTGCCGAGCAACAGGACACTGGAATTGAGACCTTAATGTGGGATGGGGCAGGAAGAACCAGCTAAAGCTCACCCACCAGCAGGCATGACCTCCTGACTGTGGTACTGCCAATTTCATCCTCTTCCCCCAGCCTGAGGTGCAGGAATCCAGGCTCTCTGGTTCTCCTCATCCATTGCTGGGTCTCCCCCCCGGGGAACGGACCAGCCCTGCCTGTCCCAGCTCTCTGTCATGTTGCAGTTGTTACACGACAGCTTCCTCACTGCTGCAGTGCCGTCAAGGTCCTGACCGGCTCTTGCAGGTTAAGCGTCTCCACCTTACAATATTAAGAAAATAGAGAAAGAGATGAGGTAGCGTCTGCCCTGTTCAGATCCTGCCTCAGTCATAACCTAGAGGGCAAGCTTAGCTCATTGTGGGAAATAAAATGTAGGATAAGGTATCCGAGTCAACCGCAGGTGAATGCCAACTTGTCAGCCTGAGAAAGGATGATCTAAAGGATGAACTGTTGAACTCAACAGGAATAGAATAAACAAATAAAGTCTGGGGAAAAGTAGGGACCAATCATTTAAACCAAGGACTTGGGGCAAACAAGGAATTTTTTTCCCCCACTGATGTCCTAGATAAATGGTATACTGATTCTGACCTGGTTCTGCTGTTAATCCATGAAATATTTAAGGTTTTTCCACCCCCACCTTTTGTTTGAAATGGCTGTGAAAAGTTTTACTTGTTCTCAGGCAGCAGATGAAATTTAACTTCCATCTTTCCATAGAAGCAGTAGTCTTGTTTGGTTCGGTGTTTGAACATTTACACCATCCGCATAGGACGCAGCGTACCCCTCACCAAAACACAGGCCATCAGGAGAAACACATTGGTTCATGCAGCACCCCATGAAATCCTCACTGCAAGCAGCGCAAGCATGCAGGTAACAAATCGGTAAGAAACAAATCAATTAATCCAACAATAGTGCACTAAGTTGGCCCTGAAGCAAGTCAATTGAATAAAGCAGGACAGAAAAGCAGGTTAACAGAAAAAACGTAACCGTGGAGTCATTTAACAGACACCGAGATGTCCTGGTTCCAGATGAGCCTAAGAGATTATTATTTTTTTTTGGTTACCAACTACTGGCCGCACCACTCGCCCTGCAGCCAAAGCTCTCAGGGACCTGACCCTACAGCACTGTGGAGAACTGCCCACTTTAAGACTTGAGGGCGCTCTCCTCTTCAAAAAGCTCATCTCTTCACGGAGCGGCACGCAGCGTCCAGGGAAATCAGGCTGAGCAGGCTGAAGCTACTGCTCTGTTTGCTCCTTTGAATCCTACTGCCCTGCTTTAATCCATTCAAGCCCAGACCGGTAAGCTGTTCTCTAGGTTATCCCAACCAACCAACCAACATTTGCAAGCCTAGAATCCAAAGGAGATCATCCATGAGTGGGGCAGATGCACGTATTACCTCCAAAGGTGTGCACGACACTTCATGAACACCCACCCCCACCTGAATGTGCTTCCAAAGTGGCAAAGTTATACTTAAAAAAAATGCATTTAGTTTTTTAGAAAGTTACATACACGAGTTGTAAGCACAATGGCTAGTGATTGGGTTGAGATCACTACAAAGAGACTACTTAAAGGGTAATACACAGGGTGCTGCAGTCACAGCACAACGTTCTCCTAGGAGCGAGGGAGCCAACCTACATGGACCTAGTTGGCTCACTCCAAGAGCAGTAAGCCAGAGGAAGGCAATGCCACCACAGCACTGGTTACCAACAAGTGTGCCACGTGCTGAATGCGCAAGCAGAACGCCAACAGGTTGCTCATGCACAACAAAAATGTGTTGTGCCAGAGCACTGTGCCAGAAAGTTATCTATTTAAAGTTATCTTCCAGAAAATAATGTAAATATGCTCATTTTTCTGCCAGCAGCCATCTACCTCCTCCTGTTCATGCATTTCTGCTTGCCTCAGATATGGCTATCAGCAAGTTTCAAAGGACACAAAAGGTTTGATTATAAAGGTAACAGGGCCCTACATTTTCCCCAGACGAAAGCCTTCCTTTATTTTCAGTCCTCAATCTTTGCCCATGCTGCAGCCGTGAAGTTCTGCAAACAAACCCACTTCTCTTGAGTCAGATACTTCCTGGTAGATCAAAGTTGTGTAAAATACACCGTGCACATAATCATGAAATCACGTACAACAGTAATACACCTAGATGAAATCAATTACTTCAGTTTCAATCTTCACTAGGCAAGAGCACAATAATCCCCTTTTATGAAAGACGACAGCGATGTTCAGAAAAGTTACAAGTTGTACCTTGTTTTCCAAGTTCCAGTTTAACGCCAGAACAAAATACCCTTTGCCCTTATTTAAAAATAACTGCTAAACTTTGCAAAGATGCTCCCAGCTATCCAACCTACTGATCTAGTTGAGCACGTTATGGAAAGCGCAGTAGAGGGATGAACAACTCCCTGTGAACGCATCAATCCTTCGCATTACAACTTAAGACAGGCTATGAATGCAAATGTCTTCTTCAGGCAGACCAGAAAGGCAAAGCTACAGCTCCTCAGCCAAAATCCTGTCACTTCGATGCTACAGAAGCCCTGACTCCAGGACGCCGTCGCCAACTCTACAGAAGGCCCCATGCTGAAAGCGGTAGGCTTTGGTGGGCTGTCAGGCTTGACCGCCTATGATTCAAGGTAAGGGCGTAAGGAGAGAAACCGCATTGATGCCTATAAGCTGCTAATGCCACAGGGGCTGGCAAGGTCTCGGACTCTCTCCTTCAAATGAAGGGAAGGGAAAGTACTTATGAAGCCCACGTGCATATACTCCTGTTCACATGAGACAAGGGCACAGCGGAGCCCATCAGTTCTCAGTGCCAGGCCAAAGTTTAGCTCATGTGAAATGGTTCCTTTTCCATTCCTACTCTGACCGCAGTTTTTCTCTCCGGAGTACTGCACGTACAGCACACCAGAGGCACCTCGGCATGATCAGAGACCACACATGGTGGCAGCATGATTTCTCCTCCACTAGCTGTGGGTGCTACGTGGAAGAGAATTGTCTCTCCCCCCACCCCAAGGTACAGAGAATTTTCCAGCTTGCTCAGGAAACCCTAAACTTGCAATCACTTGTCTCGGCCATGGTAGTGTCCTTGCTAGTTACCACCTTCAGCCTCAAGCAACATCTGAACAGAAAACAAAAAAAATCCACTTTCCAAGGACACTAAGGAAAGTTAATCGTTCGACAAAATTTGAAATATACAAACCATTTGCCAAAGAACACCTATGAGTTACTAGCCAATAAACCATAAACTTTTTTTTGTTTAAATGCATTATTTAATGAGTTTTCTTTAAGAAAGAAATATTTTGAAGCCTAAATTACAATAAAGTACAATCTTCTAGACCTACAGTAGACAGTGCTATAAACATTTATCAAACCAGGTATTTTCATGTTTGCTCCTCTGCTGCTGCTGTTACTATTTAAGGAAAAGAAACTCAAAAGTCTCATGTTAACAGCAACCCTGTCCTAACTCGGCTAATTCACCCCAGAACAGAATAAGGACAACAGCCTGTACCACAGTCCTCTCCCAAAATACAGACCAGATGTTAAGCAGGAACAAGACACTGTCATGATCACACAGTAATTCAGTGTTTAAAGAGCGACAAGTATAACAGAGCCGTTAGTTGGAGGCAGTATTGAAAAAAGAGTGTTGCTCCTTTCCCACAGGAATCACCAAAAAAAAATGCCCTTTTGCTACCAAACTACCACTGAACTCATGTTTGTTCAACGCATCTGAGCAAATCCGAGTTTACACAGGGAGCTTAGAGTTCACTTTTCCACCTTCTCCTTATATTTTCCTTCTTCTCTCCGTATCCACTGTTTTCTTTCTCCCTTTCCTTAGCCCGCATTATCCCTTCATCACTTCTATCTTCAGTTACTCAGTCCCAGCGGGATAGAGCCAGAGCAGCGCTCCTCTTCAGTCTTCCGGCACTGTCAATACTGTGGCAAAGGGCAAATCGATAGTGCTGAATTAGTACTGAGAGAGGGGAAAAAAAAGAAACAGGTCAATTCCTCACAGAGTTTTTTCCTATCTTTTAAAGGCCATTTTGCATGCCCTTTTAAATTCTAAAGGTACACATGAACTTCTGCAGCTAGCGTAAAAATGTGATTGAGCCGAAAGTTTCAACACTTCTTGGTTTGAACTGGGCAGTAGGCTGATGAACCGCAGCAAGCCACTACTTGAAAGCTGCTGCTGGGCTATTCAGACATAAAAGCAGACATCGGGTGTAAATTTCATATTTATTATAACAAAAATTATGACATGTTCATTTGTGCATTCGGCTTTAATATAACTCTTGGTATGTAAATGTTCTACAGCAAATGAGCTCTATACAATCATGCTGGTTGTGGCAGCAGTAAGGAACACAAACAAAACGTGTCTGTGAAAGTAAGGAAAGAAAGACACCAGAGGAAAAAGTGGGTTTCTTTAAATGGTCTACACCATCTCGGCTCTAGCTAACTTGTACGCAGCCACTCAGTCCGTTACGCTCAATGACCATGGCCTAAAGAGTCGCTTAAGAAAAAAAGGTCAGTTTTTCAGGTTGTGTCCTTAATGCCAAGGCTACAAAACATGTAAGCATCACTATACAACACTGAGCTATTTACAGGAATTTCCCAATCAACTGTTCTCTCAGAGAAAATTAGTGAATCTCAGTGACTTAAGTCACCTGAAAGAGTAAAGCAACTCCTAGGAGTTAGTCTCCATATTCTACAAATGTCTATCATTTTCAAGACCAAAAAAAGCCTTTTCTCTCAAAGAAATACAGTATTACAATATTACTTAAATCATTTAGCACTGGCTACTGCCCTGCTTTTCAAACAAAACAAACAAGCCATTTTAAAAAATATTACATCATCATCTGTTTCTCAACAATATATTAAACCTTTTTATTTTTTTATTATTTTTCGTTTTTTGTTTTTACACTTGATATGTTAAGGGAAGGTTAACTATTTTAAACTTTACCGGTCAAGCGTCTCTAGAAGAAAGTTGATGAATATTAAACCTAACAAACTGAAAAGCTGCAGTTATCTGTAGTGGCAGGATAAGGAAAAGGAAGTATATAAATGAAAAGGATAAGGAAAACCCCTGCTGTAATGTGAGCCCACTGGGTCCCGCACTCAAGTCTCCTTATTTGTTAGTTTATTTCTGAGCAGTAAATAGAGTGGGTCATAGTGGTGTATCATAATAGTCTGCCGGGTGGTCCATTGGATACTGCCGCTGCTGCTGCTGCTGTTGCTGCTGCTGCTGTTGTTGTTGTTCCTGGTGCTGCTTCATAATCTCCTTGACTTCTTCTTCAAGCTCTGGTGGGATGATGAACTGGTCGTCGGGATCGGGTTGTGCTGGAGCAGCGAAGTAGCCCCCTGTTTTTCTGAGCGGCGCGTCCGTTGCAACTTCAATTAAGTTATGGCTCCTCTCTTGTGGTGCCACAGAACCGTTGCCCCGCCGGCGCCCTATTGTGCCCGTGGCAGAATATTCAGCTTTCCTGGGAAGGCCGGGCTCGTCTTCGTTGGCACTGATGACGATACCTTCGTCACTGGCTTCCACCGGCACTTGGAGAAGCTGCTTCTCCTTTGCTCGGCTGCAGTGGATATCCACCTCCACTTCCACACGGCTGCCGTTGGTGAACACCCCCTCAATCGGCTCCTCATCGTCGCTGTCAAGCCCGTTGTCGGAGAAGGCGCTGGAAAAGGTGGCGCTGGAGAGCTGACGTTGGAAAGAATTAGAAAGGCAGACGGGGTGCAGCATGCAGCGCTGCTCCCCCGGGTAGGCCGGGCTGTTCTCATTCATGGCTACCTGGGGAGGCTCATCGGAGGCCGTGGAACCCACCTCGCTGCTCATTTCAGAGGTGGAGATCTCACTGCTGATCTCTGAAGCCATGCCGCTGCTCGAAGATGGCATCCCAAGCGCATCTGTTGGCCTGTCCTTGATGACCACGTTGACAGACTGGGGGAAAATGCCTGGGCTGGGGGGTGGGACCCCATTAAGTTCACAGCAGCAGAAGCTGTCCTCTGTCACGTTGAGCTGAACCACGACAGCGCTGATACTGTCATTACAGCCATAACTCTGGGCCAAAGTGCAAAGCTTCTTCGCGGCTGCCAGTGCATCAGGCACGTTCCTGACTGCCTCTACTGCTTCATCCATCGAGAGGCTGTCCCACAGCCCCTTGCTCCCCAGAATGAAGAACTCATCTTGCGGAGTTAAGGTGATGGACTGGACGTGAGGACGCGGCACAACACTTGGGTGAAGGAAGGTGTACCCCAAGATTCTTGTTGAATCCGTCACACCGTTCACTTTGCCATCCTGAAATGAGAAAGGGCAGGAAATTGGAAACAAAGCAGACACGGATACACAGCACCTGCATCTCCTTGCCTTTTACCAATGGCTGTTTTTGCAGTCCCCCCAACACTGCCATTTACAAACCAGAAGACAGAAAAGCAAAATGACTTGCAAGGAGGTGACAGAGCTGGGATTGGAGCACAGCGATGGCTGGTTTCCAATCCTGCGCTATGCCTCCTACACCCTACTGATTTGTCATCAGCATCACCTATGCACAGACCAACAAAGCAGAAGTCTGCAACAAAGAGCCATCTATTCTGCTCCTGCAGCTGCAAGAGCCAACTGGACTAATGTTTTACCAGTGAGTCAGACTTATCCCTCCTCCACCCACGATATCTGGCTTTATACAGAGCAAAGAAGCCACACACAGCTCCATTTGATATAGGGGCAGGTCATTCAGTTATGACTCTCCTCTCTCTTGCAGCTGTAACAATTGTATGTTTCATCTTGGCTCATCACTTTGGAACAAAAGTTCATTTAAAAAAAATAAAACAACAAAACTTTAAACAAAGCATGCAAGTCAAATGCAGCAGAGAGCAAGCCTGCATTTCTCAGTCAGCTGAATTGTAGTGAAATGTTTTACACGCCCCAATTACTTACTACGTTTCCACTACTTAGATATGACATTTCCAAGGGGAGGAGGAGTAATATCTGAAGGGAAAACATCAGTAAAGATGGACGTATTTGAGAAATAACTCCCATGCACGTCCAAATCCCAGGATCCCGTCCTGATTAGAATCCAAGCTGCCAGAATAAGCAGAGCAAGTGTCTGAAACCGCAAGCCTGGCTTTCTGTCAGCCTGCTGGGGATAGCTGCACCCTGCTAATTGCGTGTTCAAGAAGAACAACAAAGGTAAGGATTTACACTCATTTGGTCCAGCTGATGACTGCGGTGGTTATTATAAAGCAGATAACCATAGAAAAGTGAACCAAGACTAAAAAAAAGCTTCCCCTTTAAAACCACTCAGAAGAAAAAAACCAAAACTTGTTGGCTTGTTAACTTCCCCATTAGAAGGCTGACAGCAGTGATAAGCCATCAACATGCATGAAATCAGTGAGTCATCTTAAGATTCAGTGCAGAAATTTCCCTTCTCCTCTAAGGAACAACACAAGGAGCGTGCCTCAGTGATGCACACTACGTTGGAGTGACTCCCAACTTGTCACGTTTGAGATCCCGGTCATCACCTTTCCCTGGCAAGATCAATAGGCACATATCTTATTCCACACACACCCCCCTACACACACGCATACAAACACCCTGCTCACGGGCGTACAGCAGTGAGTTTTCTGCCCTTTCCTTCACCATTAAGAGGATTCAATAGTTATCTATTCTTATGCATGTGTCACACACGGCAAAGCAAAACTGACAGCTGTGGCTTCAAGTTTGTAAGAAGGGAACAAATAGTCTTCTCCTCTCTCGTGGTTCAGCCGAGCACAGGATGGGTTTTCCTTTTGGGCAAGTGCTCTCTTCAAGAGCTGCCTGTCAAAGGGCAGCTCTGGGAGCACAGGAGCTCAGACAGCAAAGTCAGCCTGCCAGGAGCAAGGAGTCTCCTAAGGGAAGAATGGCATCGCTCCAAGTGCTCTGCCCTCTCATCCTTTTCAATTGGAGAGGCTCTTCATGACAGCTCTAATGCAGAAATTCCTCTCCCCATCAGAAGGGGGATGTCTGCTTTCCCGTTTCAACACAACACGCTCACAGTTGCTTGCTCTCTGAAGCTAACCAAAATCCAGCATGGCAATGGGATGGTAAAGCAACTTGATTGCATGACATGAATCACCTTGAAAGGTAAAGTGCAACCCTGGAACCCGTACCATTAACAGCAGCTCTTAGAAGTTACTAATATCGACATGTAATTTCACACACTGCTGTGCAAATACTCTCCAAGGAAGCTGCAAGCTGCAACAGTCCCTAACCATTCTCTAACCTCTGTGATAATGGCCTTATGCTGCTTAATCCTCTTCAGCTCTTCTTCACAACTCATCATGTAACACCTGGACAAAGGCAGAGGTTTCCCATTCCGGCAGAGAACAGTTTGGCACTTCCCCACGTTCGCTGAGGTTAGCGTGAAGCATCCACCAGGGTCCATGGGATCATGTTTTATGTGGCAAAGGACAGCAGAGCCTCCAAGTTTTTGTCCAGCTGTTCCAAGTTTCCTGGAATTGAAACAAAACAGTGATTGTTCTTTAATTGGAAAAGAAGTGTTATAGGTACTACAGAGAAACAGCTGCTGTCGTGCAACCACAAGCACTCAGGGCATTGACTCTATTGGATCACTGGGACAGAAACAAAAGTCTCCACTGAAGACTGTGACACTATGGCAGCATTGCAGAGAAATCACATGCAACTCTCGGGCAGTGTGTTATTTATACATATGTAGATACACAAATCTGCTCAATTTTAGAGCAAAAAACCCCCATCTTCGCACATTTAAGAGTTGCACAGTTGTGTCTTCCTCTACATCTTAAGTTTGTTTTAAAGGTCACATCAAGGGAAACAGAGAGGGTTAGAAAGGTACTGACAACTATTAAAGGAGTACAGGTAGACCTTAAAAAGGGGGTTCATATTATCCATCTGGTTCTTCAGCTTCTGAACCTACAGGTTTTAATATAAAATAATTCTAACTGTAAAAACACTACTTTTGAGCAAAACCAGAAGTTCACTGTATTGTGATGTCTTCAGAATAATGCTCTTAAAGTATCAAATGATGACCAAAAGCACAGTGGCTGTAAAGTCCACTGTAAGAAGGCACACTTTTCATTTATCCTGTCAGTTACTAATATGTTAAATAGGTTCTTAGAAGTATTTAAGCCTGCTGTTTTAGCAGAGATCATAGTGGGGAAAAAAACCCCACCATGGATAAAACTGAAGTTTTCAGAATCCTGTCGTTAGAAGGTAGATCATTTCAATACTAGACCGTGGAAAAAAAAACATCCATCCTTCCCAGTATCTTGTTTATCAGGGCCTTCTCCTATAGTAATTAGGAGTTATAGTAATTAGAAAGCTAATTACAGAGGTTACTAAAATTTATATTAAGGCTACGTACATCTGGCAAGAACTTTTGATTCAAAATCTTGGGGAGAGAATGCACAACTAAATTTGTAACCAAGCTACAATGTGCTTTTTTTTTTAAAAAATTCACTTCAGGAGTGTTGCATATCATCTGTAATCATCTCAATGAATGGTTAAATGCAACTGGAATGAATACTAGTTCTGGTTCTCCAAAGAACTGGTTAGCTTATTTTGACTTGAGCCCAAAAAAAAAAAAAAAAAAGAAAAAAAAAAGGAGCTTTTTGTAGGAATGCCACATTCCTGTGAAATCACATTAGTAGTAAACAAAACCACTTAATAAGTAGTTTCGATCCTCAAATTTGTTATTATTTTTGAATAAAGCGTATGGTAACCACCTTCTCAGCTACTGGTCCAAGGCACTGTTAAAAGCAATTATGGGAAGGAAGCATTTTCTCTCATGTTTGTAAGGTTCAATGCCACCCTACTACTTCCATATCTTTCTCGATACCAGAAATCCAGTATTTTTCCTTTCCAAAGGTGCAGCAATCGAACGATACGCAATGCTACTTTTCATTTGACCCATTTCCTCAGTCTCTAAGCTGCATATTTGCTTTCTCCTTTGTTGCATTCCCTTCGTACTCCTCCTTCGCTCAGTGCCTCCCCAGGCACAGTTCCTTCTTCTCTCAAGAACAGCACGCACATAGGTTTCCAAACCACTACACAGAGCTACTATTACACTCTCAGCTATCGTATCACAACCTCTTTGGATGGGTCCTGCTCAAATCATATTCTACGGCGAAAGGGATGACAGGAAACAGACATTTCTGAAGAGTCAGACTACATGTTTTAAATATTTGTGTAGCCTTAAATAACCTGAATTGGTACACAGAAACAGAAAAGATCAGCCCAGGCTTTGCAGCCAGAATGAAGTTTAAAAGATGATCAAGAGATTCATACCACTGACTTGGTTATGGCCAACTGTGAATCATAAGACTTAAAGAAGATATCAGAAAAGAGTAAACCTCCAATCACTACTTAGGCATGATCATTTAGTAACTTTGCAGGTGGGTTGATTTGTTTGTTTGTTTGGGTGAGGGGTGTTGGGGTTTCTCTCCCCACACCTGAACGGAACAGAGGACAATATTCACAAAATAAACAGTAAAAGAAAACATTGCAGCCAGATATCAAGGCTTTTTTTCCCCCCCCTTGCATTTTTTTGAAGCAAGAAAAGAGCAAGTGTCTGATATGAAGGTGAAAAAAAACTGTCCAGTGAGCAATGCACAAGGTAAAAAAGGCTTCAGATCCAAGACTCACCTCTGCATAACAATGAAAGTGTTGATCATGTATTCTTCCTCATTTTTTGTTTTCTGCAGCTCTTCTGCTAAGATGTCGCTCATTGTGCACTGCAGCAGATATGGCACTTCCACGTTGCGGTCACCATCAAACACACCATAAAGTGCCTCCCGGTTGTCACAGAAGTTATTGGCTGAAAGCGCTGCCACACACAGCCTAGTGAAAAAACAAAAGCGGGAGAACATCAAAGTGGTTACCCACTAATAGTTTCTCATCTTGTCATTCTGACCAGAAAGATGCAGTCCAAGAGCTAGTTTTAACCACCTCTGTTCACAAGCATCTCAGGACTGCTTTCTGAGCTGTGGAGAAGAGTCAGGCCCATCACTAGTGCTAAGATGTGGACAGAACTATACTGAAAGTTCAAGCCAAGCCCTAAGGATTCTTCCTCCTTTTCAGCATGTGAACAGGTCCCTTATTTATAGAAATATGGGGAAAAAATAGGCCTGAAACAACATCACTTGAAACCGCACTTGCCCCTCTGAAAGCCATCCTTGTGATTTAACATGCCGATGACCAAGTTGTGCCTTAAATCAGTTAACAGTAAGTAAAGGCTTGCTGGCACTTGCTACGGAAACCTAGGTAGCAGAAGATTTCTAAAAAGGTATTTAAGGAACAAAGAAAGATTCATCACATTGCCAGCAACACAGAGACTAGCAGACTCTTGGTACATTATTTGTCAAGTGCTGCCTTAGTCACAGGAGCTCCGCACACTATGAATATTCAGAGTTTTGGCCATTCTGCCTCTTCCTTTAGTATCTCTGATTTGCTTGGTAAACATCCTTTGGTTGAAGATAAAGCAGCTTTGCACAGAGGAAAATGCTTCTAAACACTCAGATCTTTTGCAAACACCAGTCTCTTGCATAGGCAAAATGTGTTGGTTACCCTTGTATCTTAGCAACTTCCCTAACAAAGACCAAAGTGGAGAGCTGGGCAGGGGCCCAGTATACAAATATAGAGTCATGGCATGGCCTCTGCCTTTGTGAAGCCCAAAAGTCCCCGAAACTTTCACTGAAAAAAGGATTTCTTTGTATCAGCACAGAGGTGCTCTGCTGCTAGGATGCTCGTATAATATAAACCACACCAGGTCGTACTTGTTCTTAACGCCCGATGCTTCTGTGTAACCATGGCTCCACACTGCCGGCGCTCCTGAAGCATCACCGGCCGAGGGCTGGTCGATCTTGAAGCAACGGATATTGCTGCAAAGAGAAAGGAAAGGGGAAAGACGCAATGGATTGAAGCGCTGGTGTGATCCAGTTTAAAATGTGAAGATAACACCTTTTTTTCCCTCCCTCAGTTCTTAGTAATACATTTAAAAGAAGAAAATGAAGCAGGACATCTGAAGTGGTTACTTTTACGTGTCTGTATACAAAGAACAAAAAAGCAGTAAATAACTCGGCCTCTATGAGGGTGTCAGCTGCGGTGTTTTGCTTAGCCAACTTTTCTTTCCCTGCCCTCATCCCTGAGCTATTTGTATCAAACCTGGCCCAGTAGGAATACAAGGCAAATTTTTCACTAGCTTGATGAAAGCCAGTACAGGGGAGTGATTTTTTAACTTCTACATCTTTCCCACCCATTTTAACAAGTAGTCTCTGGGCTCTTTTCATTGTACTCAGATGAAGCCTCCTGTATGACCCACCTCATCCCCTAAATGAAGAAAAAAGAGGAAAAAAAAATTTCTTTAGAAACAGTAACATCTAGTAACAGCCTTCCATGAAAATGCCCAAACAGAGAAATCTCCTCCATCCTTGTCCTGCATCAACCTGCAAGAGCCAGCCTGCAGTCCCAACAGCGAGCACAGTCCTTCTGTCTTCCCCAATTTTTACTTAGGCCCTTGATCCTCTACCCTCCAATTTACTACCAACATAGCCTTTAGCCTGAAGTTCAACTATTTCACGCAGCGTAGTAAAGACTTAAAAAGGGCCCAGCCCTCTCTGTTTATACTCTTCTCTTCATAGCCCTGCTTTGCTGGGGAGAGATGACCTCCTCCCTGCTCCCTACTGCTCTCTTCCAAAGGCAGGGAAAGCCAGCTCCCCACACGCTGCAGACACTTCAAAGGCACCCGAACCTTTCATGAACCAAATGAATCATAAAAGGACACAAGCAGAAAGGTCTAACTGTTCACTCTGAGCATTCATTTCTCTCTATCCAAACCCCCACCTGACCTGAACACACAGAAAAATCTTTTCAGCATTGCACAGCCCTCCTCAAATAACCCGAAGTACTGTCACATCCAGTTCGATTTCTTTTTACGCTAATAGTCAGGATGTACCTCAGCGAGGGCAGATGAAAAGCAAACAAATTACATAAAGAACGTTAGAACCACTGGTGTTTTAAGCCCTTGGTTTTGCAGCCCTCTGCGTGACAAACAGGAGGCAAACATCGCGCCACAAACATTAGAAAAGATTATCTGACCTCAAATCAAACTGGAAACCTGGGTCTCTTCCAAAGTAGCAAAGATTTTAATTCTGTCTCCACCTGCAAACCACTACACACACGAGCACACGCGCTTTCCTCACAGACTTCTCATACAAGACAGTTATCTTCCAGGGCAGAGGAACTTGGATCAAAAGGGATTTTCTGTTTGTTTCTTTTTTAACTGAGTCGACTGACCCCTGGTTCCTGGGCAGGTCAAGGACCTCAAGGCTTCCCAGCAGTGGTGAAAAAAAAGTCACATCGATGCATTGCCTTCAGCTTCCTCAGTGGCACCACTACAAATAGACCACGTGCCTGGGAAGGAATGATATCCAGCAGTGCATCCTATGCAGGGAAGATAGGCTAAGGCCTCCGGACAGCACGGTTTATTTTGCCTTTAATTTGACTGCTACAATTGAACTAAATGCTCTTTCCTAAAAATAAGACTAGCAGCATTTTTGTCTTTTTTCATTTTAATTGCTACTGAAAATTCTTACATCGAATAAATCACTTGGCAACACAGTCCTAAGCACGCAAGCCTCCATACATATTAAAAAAGCAAGCATGCACGACAGGACTTCTCACCAGCACTGAGAATACATATTAACCTACTACCTGCTTGAATCCTGCCAGGGCACAGATGGAGAGCTGCCTTTCACATGCGAAGGAAGATATAAAAAGCACCAAGTGCACAAGTATTTTCGTGCCTGCCACAAAAAACAAGTGAAAGGAGCACCTCCTCCCTCACAGTCAATTATAGCAGTATACCATCAAGTCAGTGTGGTATATCAGTAGAGATGCTAAGAAGCCCCTCAGGAGGCCTGAAACACCTGACTGTGGCTAATGAATATTAGGGAAGACAACAGACCTGAGGTGTTGAGAATAATTAATTAAAAAAACCCCAAATAACCAAACAAAATGCACACACAAGAGGAAGCAAATTTTCTATGAATTAAAGAGAACGGATATGCCGGTGAAAATACGGTGTGTAACTGGGCTGTACTACTCTTCTACTACTTAGGACTTAAATGTGTATACTACTGCTATAGGGCGCGATGCCTGAATACTCAAGTGGCAAGAGATCGGCTTGTCCATCTTGTCTGCTGGGTTATACACAAGAAAAGCTGATCTTTCACTTTCAGTTTCAACACAACTCAATTAGCTTTGTGTTATATATATATATATAAACAATTTATTTTTTTTCCTATGAACCAGAACAACATTACACACTGCTGCTTCAGGAAAGTTTCCTGTATACAATAAAGCATCTCTTAAAATAGAGGAACCCTCTATTTTTGCTGTCTGCTGCAGAACATGAACTCTTGTTTTTATCTCTGAAAACTCATTATTATTCAAATTTCCATTTAAATTTGATAAAATCCGCTGATTCAAGCTAAAAGCAAACTCAGTTTGCTAAGTTTCCCTTGCTTGCACAACAGATGAGGTTTACTACTCCAGTGTCTGATCTTAACTGTTTAAAAGCAAACCATACGAAGCAACTGCTCAACCCTTAAAGAGCAAATCAACCCTTCTTGGAATCTTGCAATATTTAAGGATCAAAGAGACTTAGAAGGAACCTCTGAGCTGGTGCATTTCCCTTCAGGACATAAGAAAAGCTCAAGATAGCACCACTGTCCACATCTGATCTGTTTTAGTGCAACATTTCCCAACACACAGCAGAAGGAGGCACGAGGCACTTGGCAAATTTCAGGTATGGATAGTAAGTCCCAGGGCAGGAAACATATAAGTAGACAGGAAAAAAAATTTGAGGGTCCCAAAGCAAGGTAACTAGCTTTGCTGCAAGTGGAGTGGGAGATGACAGTCTTCAGCAGCAGCATAAAAAAATATTTATAGGACAAAGGCAGAGAGGGATGAAAGGTAACAAGAAATGGTATGTGAACAGGTAAAAACGAGCACAATGACAAAGACAGACCCAAGCAGATGAACATGAGAAAAAAACGTAGTAAATAGCTACTGGCATCTCAACAGTGGAATAAAACAAGTATTTTGGTTGCACCTAATGTCAGAAGTAAAATGGAGATCAAACTGGCCCAACAGTGGTTATACCAGCCCACCAGACCCCTTCAGGAGTTACAGCTGAAAGCAATTGCACTGAAGTGGGTAATCTTCTTCAATGAAGTATTAATTTCTGAACTACCCATACAACCAGTTACTTTCTGATCCACTGACAATAGGGAGCTGTACTCCTTGAAGAGATTTATGCTTCTGCGTATTGTGGTTTTGTCACATCCTAGTGACAGGAGCTGCTCTGCCCCTTCCCCGCTCTGTAAGGTCACTTACTTCAGCAGCTCCAGGGTTTTGTGATCCAAGGCTAATCTGGGATTTCCAGTCAGGTCCAGCTCTTGTAGTTTTGGCGGCAGGTTTTCAGGCAATGTGATTTCACTCAGTTCATTGCAGCTTAGGTCCACACACTGCAAAAGGAAAGCAGCCAAGTAAGCAAGAGAATTCAGCTGTCATCAAGATCATACAAATTTTGATTAAATGTAGTAAGGCATGTTTCAGGAACAAAAAAGGCTGCAACTGAGACCTAAGACCATTCATTTAGGGAAGTGGTTCTTACACAATGACTTTCATATGGCAGTTAGCCATCTTCCCAGATGCCTAGGACACCTAGAAATGTGTTGCCCACCATTTTCATCTCTGGCCAAGTGTCATCCTGTTAGGAAAGTGGTAAGCTTTGTCTGCTCTTCACAGAGACAAAGATGGTCAGTGTATTTTCAAGTATTTAAGAAAAAATGTGACTGATGAAAACAGTTGCCAGTTTTTTTAATGGATAAAGGAAATGGAGATAAATACAGTTGGGGTTTCTAAGCCACTGGCATGGCAGTCCCTTCCCTGAAATCAGTTTAAACCAGCATGAGTACGAGCACGCTCTCAGGAATTCAATATTTACTGAGGGATATTAAAATAAGTAGGGTTATGAATGCATGTGGAGGGCAGGAGTAGAGGGGGAAAGGAAAAAAGAATATTAGAGCAGTTTTAAACATGGTTTTAATTTGTGTCATCTTCAATGGATTCCTACTTAAATACGAAGTCAATAAAATGAGTGGAAAAAAATTAAAGCTTAAATATTTCAGAAAAAATGTGACACAAAACAGCAGACAAACTTGCTGGCTATCCACCAGCTAAGCACAAATTAGCTAGAACAAGTGCACTAGAATGACAAAATCCTCAAACAAATGTCATTTAAAGCTGCATATCCAGATGAAAGTCAATATACAGGGGAAAGTATGGCCTTTTAGAACAAAATCAACACTCCAAACCCTATTACAGGACCATCAGTGTAGCATGCACCAAAAATTGGGGGGGGGGGGGGGGGGAAGGACAGAGCAGGCTGGTATTTAGGAGATAGAAGAACTATCCACATCTTTCAGAAAAACTGTTTTCTACTTTCAACCTGCAAAAAGAGAAAGACTGCAAAAACTTTAATAAACCATAAAGCTGAAAGGGGCAGGGGGAGGCTTTTTCCTAGCTGCACATTTTGACCATTAAGTAATTTCCATTGATACAAGCGAGACACTTCTATTTTTGCAGGTATATTCAAAGAAATTGGGTCCTGAGCTGGAAGGCATAAGATAACCTAGTAAAAACTGGAAAAGAAAGATTTCCTAACACTTTATTAAATATATGGAATGGAAATAATGAATTTCTGACCCAAATCATGAATCCTGAGGTTGTCTAATATGGATGCCTTATTATCTACAAAGAACAAATGGCTGACGTTATCTAAGCCTGATAAGGAAATCAGAGTTTAAATCTGTCACAAACAAAATAGTAGACAGCTTAACAGAACGGTTACTCCAGGGAGCTTTTTTCCTCTATGCAATGCCTTGCTGCTTCCAGAGAGCCAGTAATTACTTTGCAGATTACAGAAGCTGCCAGCAGGCCTTGCTGTGTTCAACACCTCAATGCCATTACAAATTCGATAGAAGAGCATGCTACAATAACAAGTACAAAAATCGGTAAAGTAATTTCATTGTTCTCATTAAATGCCCAATACGCCAAAGGTAGTGACACTCTACAGCACGGTCCTTGGTCCCTAGGCACTAGTGAAGATTGCTTATTTATCAGGTTAGGATTTCTTAGATTTTATTTGTACTATTTGAAGAACAGGCTAAGAGGGACTTTCTGCATATCTGTGTTAAATTTAGTCCTTATTTTACTCCCCAGGCAAGCAGGAAAGCATATTTCCTAACTGATTTCAATTTCCTTATGCATTATTTTAATGTAAGCTAGTTTAGCCCCACCCATGCAGCACCAGAAGAACAACTCCTGCAACTGCACACAGGATTTGGCACTGGATGGGCCAGCTGGAAGACAGGGTTTAATAGTCAGCACTTGCTTACGCTGCATTTACAGCTTTGTAACTGTTTTGTCTAAGGCTTATCTCCAGTTGTGACTGAAGGTGGCCATACCCATACTAATCTATGTAACTAGAAGAAAAACTACCAAAAGACTGAGAGTTTTGTCTTCAAGATGATACTGCTACTAGATCTTCACTTATTTTCGATCTCAAGGTAACGCTCCTGTGAAAGATAAGCTTGACCAAAAATTGCGACAAGAAACCTCCGTATTACCCTCACCACGGCAGCCCAGTAAGAAAACCACAAGAGAGAAGCAACTCATCAGCCAACAAAAACTGGATGATGAAGTAAAGCCAGGTCCCAGATGGGAAAAGCAAGCCTGGGTTGCTGAGCTCTGTTCAAGCAGTAAGGAATACTCAATTGTTTCACTGCATAAGAACACCAGGATGCTGGATAACTGTCTAAAAAATGTCCTTTTTTATTTTGTAAGGCAAGGAAGCTGAAGTCAAACAATGGCTGCAAGGAAGAGTCTGCTGGGGCATTGACTCAGGTGTGTGTGCTTCCAGCTGCTCGGCCATTTGCAGAAGACATTTCAGTGTGCTCAGATAAACCTAACTCTGAAAGCATAAATAACTGTCATAAAATACAATAAAACCCATAAAAAAATGTATTGTATAAGATATCTCCGAGACATCCACTGGGCCCTTTAACACAGAAGACAACATGTAACTTTTGTAGCCTTGACTGTAGCGTGTAAAAAAGGCTTAGAAACAATTGTATCACTAAAATGATCTTATGTTTGGAAATCCTGGAGTTACTGCAAGTGCTAAAGCACCTTCATTTATACTAGCTTTCCTTCTGGAATTACTTTAGACAGCATAGTAACTGCTGCTATTATCTGTTCCAGTATCGCTTACTCCAAAAACATAACATGTCAGCCTCTCAGGCTCATTAAATACAAAAGCTGAACAGCCATTACCTCAGGTAACAGAGTTTCCCCAAGAAGTTCAGAACATTTGAATACCACCTCAGTTAGAATTAACCATCAAATATGATATAACCAGAGGTGACATAAGACTATACAACTTGGTGCTTTGCCACAAGCAAGCTTATTTCACCAAGCAACCAAATCCATAAACAATAAATTCTGAACTTACTTTGGCACATTTTCAATGCTCTCACATACCTAAGAAAGAGCTCCAGTTAAGGTAAGGAACAGATACAGCCAGGCAGCGCAAGCTTGACCCCCAAACTAACAAACACCAACCCTGACCTAGAGAAATCACTGAGAGGCCAGAAGAAACTCTATGCCCAAAAAGGCATCTTCCCATCTGGCAATTACATGAACTCATCTCACCTCAGTCAAAACTAGGCTTGAGTACTGACCAGGCGTTTTCTTTCCACAAAGGTGGAGTCCTAGAACACTCTGTCCTCTTAGATGAAGTCACACATGCTATCGCTGCAGTCCCAAATCAGTTAGTGATGTCCATGCCCCTTTCTTCTGCTAAAGTGAATTAAGTAACCATAGGGAACCAGCAGGAAGAAACTGCCGGGTCTTCCAAGAGTGTTTTTCTGCTAAGCATTGTGGCAGAGTAGCACTTCAAATACAGACACTTTTATAAAACATTCAGCTTTCCCCAAAACACATGAACAAAAGGAAAAGGTTGATTGTTCCCTATCAGCATGTTTACATTACCCTCATCTTGTTTTTTATGGTTGATACCACCCTCATACTTTTAAAGAAATGTTTACTGCGCAGAGCCTCGCTCCCCCACCCCAATTCTTCCTCAAAGTAAAAAGGCTTTGCTTCTGATTGATTCTAAATGGCCCTCTGCTTCCTCTGGCCATTGTTCCAAAGAGGGAGGAGTATTCAAAAACCCACAAGTTTCTTTGAGATTTCCTGGCTAAAACCACAATGCTCATCTTTATGTGCACTCGCTTGTCCAACAGAATTATTGCTCCCACTGCTTTGCCTGACCCCAGACACTGAGGCACACACGGCAGGCTGGGAACTCAGCCTTTTGACTTTACAGAGCGCCCAAAGGACACTTTGGTTGTTTTGAGCCCGTGGATAGGTAACCAGCTCTCAACCTCAGAGAACAACAGATTTTCTGTCATATCACAAGATTTGTATGCTGCGAGTTAACTGTCCCTCCCAGCTCTGACCAGCAAAAACAAAATATTCTGCTCTACAGCCAGGTGAGAAGCAGGAACTTGATTCACAAAGGTAAGCAGTAGCGCTCTTCAGCATGGTCAAGAAAACAGTGCGTCCCCCAAGAAAAGCAAAAACAAAATATTCTGCTCTACAGCCAGGTGAGAAGCAGGAACTTGATTCACAAAGGTAAGCAGTAGCTTACCTTGACCTTCAGCATGGTCAAGAAAACAGTGCGTCCCACAAAAAGATGTGTCAAGAAAAGTACAGAATTACTTCTGGAAACACATACAAGAGACAGATTAAGCATTCCTCCGGTTCTGCAAAATATGACTGCAATTAGGAAAATTAAAGTAGCTTGCCTGACTACTCAAATCCTGTGCTCCTGGAATTTATCTCTGTCCCCAAGGCCTATCGTATTTTGCAGCTTTAGCGGTTTTTAACACATGCTCTAAACAAAGTCCATTCCTACACAATCAACCAAGGCAGCAAGAGTTAATTATGCATAGTTCTTGCCAAATGTTTAAGTCGTATTATAACAGACTGTCACAGGAAGACAATTAACACTTATTTGGCAGAGAAGATAGGATCTGGTGCAGGTGAGCATAAAAAAAAAAAAAAATCAAGATTTTGAGGCTCTTCTTCCCTTCCAGTCTAAGGCAGCACAGGGGCGAATATTTTGCATATGACCTCAGAGGAGAAAGCAGCTGTCATATCTCTGTAATTTCTGAGCCTATACTACCCTGTATCAATCAGAGACTTGAGGGGAGAATAGAATTGGTAAAGTCGCATTATAGTAGTTTCTTCCGAAGCACATTCATTCCTTACCTTTATTTCAGAAAGCTGCATGACTTCTGGGAAGACTTCGATGCAGTTGGAGTGAGCAATTACAGTATGCATACGTCTGCAGTTCATGATAGTTGTTGGAATGGCTTTCAGTTTGTTCCCACTAATATCAATTTCCTCCAACTCTTCCAGCTTGGCCATTTTGCTATGAAAACAGGAGTTTGAGAATTTTTTTCTTTTAATAGACACGTGTATTTTATTTTGAAGTGGTGCTAAGAGCAGTGGTTTTCATTATTTTAAGAAAATAAGATCGCAGACTTTTGTCCTTGTTCACAGCACTGTCACCTCTCCTCACATCAGACGCTAACACAGTTGTGCAACAAAACGTGTGCTTTTTCAGTCAATGTTTTGTTAAAGCTACTTTTCAAGTGACTTATTTTGCTTACATTCTCCCTGCTCACCAGTTCACTTCCACTCTTTTTCCTCCCTCCTTCCCCCTTCTTTCAATCCTAGTTTCTCCCTTCACCCCAAATTTTCCCTTCCATCTTATCACATCCCACTCAGCCCCTTCCCCCTAATTCATCTCCCTCCCCCTTGCCGGTGAAGCCCAGCTGCTCAGAACATCAGTCAAGGACAGAGATGTCTCTTCTTTTATTTATTGGCATCTCTTTTCCAAGGTTGTACCCCATCAGCTTTACAGCACATCTTACACTTGAAAGATTTCCGATTAAAACAGAGTGAATTGAAAGCACAGAAATTGCTGCCAAGGCAGAATCTCCTTCTGGAGTGAGAGGACTTTTTGCCAGTGGAGTTTAGTCCACTTCCAGAGGACATTTCCAGACTGTTATACTCACAAATCTCTTGTAAGGAGAAGCCCACCAGGTTTAAGCAAAGTGACCAAGCCAGGGAAAACAGAAGACTTCCTTGCTTAACTTCAAAAGTATACTGAGGTCATGCTGAATTAGCCCAGTTGAAAAGAATTTCAAGCGCAATCGAAACACACCAACTAACATGCAGCACTCACTTGTCTGCATAATGCAAGAGAGGGTAGCAACGTGCAAGAGGGCACTGCAGGTGAATCCACCCACTGCACTATCACCACATTCAAAATACAGCCTGCACCACCACATTTCTGTGCGATTTAGCTCTCGCTGTGAAAATGTTTCACGATGCCCACCCACCGGTGGGCCAGAGGCAGTGAAAGCAGTTACTTACCTCGCAGGGAAGCTCTGTAGGCGATTGTAAGCCATGTGCAAGATTTTCAGGTGCGGATGGCCTGTTAACAAGGGGACGCATTTATCTGTGAGGTTGTTACTGGTCAAATACAACTCCTGTAAGATGCTATGGGTTTCTTCAGAAAGAGTGGCTGGAGGAAGCATTTCCAGTTTGTTGGCAGAGGCATTAAGAAATCTCAGGCTGCAAAAGAAGTTGCAAAAGGGAGTTCACTGAAACATCCTGCAAGTTTTGTCTAGAAGTATAAATAAAAATCTCTGGTTTTAAGAGTTAAGATAGTTATAAAGCAAAGGTCAGAAGCAACAAGTTCACACCAATGGACAGAAAGACCAGAAGTCTAGTATTAGATGAACAAAACTTCTGATCACATTTTTAAATGAACACATTTGTACAAACAAAACATCAGCAAAACGAGTATGTTAAAATGCCTCTACCCCCTTATAAGGCCTCAGTACCTCCAACATTACTACAGATGTATCTACAGGTAAAAGCAGTAACAAATCACATCATTTCCATATTCTTCCCACATAAAAATGAATTCTGAATTCATCACCAACGAATCATGAGAGTATAGCTGCCCTTCAAGTGACTAAAAGAAGTCACCGCTAACAAAGTCAGCCAATTTTTCAGTAGTTTAAATACTGGCTAGGGTGCAGACAGTATTTTGTTTAAACCTGCAAGCCTGGAAAGCAACTACAAACTACGAAAAAGTACTCTTTGAATGTTTGGGTAACTAAAGATGCACCAATCACAAAAACCACCCTGAGACCAAGCAGTAATTTGCCTTTTAGATTTTAAAGAGAGACAGTGCCAATAGTAAATTAAATAAAAAAGTTATATACTTGCTTGCTGATGTATGCAACAAGACAGCCAGATCTCTGCATAGCTCCTGAATGCCCTTCCCCTACTCTCCAAAGTAGCAGAAGCCCTTGTCAATATTTTCTGCAGTCCTACCACAAGCAGCAAGGACTGAAGCAGCACAGAGATGAAGTCATTCTTTCTCCCTCAAAGGATTTTTTTTCAAGGATGGAAACAGCCCTGTTGTGGTACAGGCACTGCCAGTCACGTTCTGTGGGCAGAAGATTCATGTTTCTTTAGGGGAGTTTGGTGATCGCAGCAGCACTAGAGGAATACACACTGTAGGCATCTTGAGGGCTAGAATTCACACAAGCAATTCCAATGAAATGGAAAAATAAAGCTATTTATCCTTTAGTAACCAACTCTGACACAACCATGCCTTTCCAACAGAAATAAGACACCTCTCTCTACCTTCCTCCCCTTTTCAGAAAAGGCTGCCTTAGAGAACTTGTGCCTGCCAGTCTGCAGCGACTGTGTTCAAACCAGGCTGTACTGGAAATACCAACTAATGGGAATGGGTAGTTGCAATGGGTAAAGTTGCATTCAAGAAACAAGACTCAGAAATGAGCTGGCTGAAGCCTACAAAGCCACTGATCAACACACAAAAGGTAGGTGCACTCCTGCCATCGATCTTAAGAGAAAGCGATAAAGTATCAATAGAATTCTCCCAAGCATGCAGGAATCCACCCTGACCTTTAAGGTCTATTAATGAATGAAATGGATTTGCAAGGGTTGCAGCTGGTTGAAACTTGCTCAGCAGCAAATAAGGGTCAGATATGCTACAGAGGAGTCACATGGGATGCCAAAGGATTAAAAAACCCACTGTTTCCATTAAGAGCAAAAATCTCTCAGCACTGCGCAGAACTGAAACTAGGTTAGCTGTTTTACAGAGACAGAGGAGTCCACTTCAGAGAAACACAGTTTAATCCTCACGCTCATTCATTATTCACAAGGGTGGTAAAACTCCAGAGGAGGAAGGGAGAAGAGGGAGGATTAATAGAGAGAAGGGAATAAGCAGCTGAAAGGATTTAAAAATTATTTATTCTAAAAAGATGCTGCTCAATTTCACCCTTTAGCTATAAACTAGAAATATATTACACTCATTCAAAGGTGGATTGGATTATTAAACTGAAGCATACCACATCAACGGTTCCTGTACTTACTTAAACACCAGTAAGCACATCTATTGCCCAAGTACAGACAACTATTACTTTAGCAACTTCAATCTGATAGGCATGATAGTCTCTTTCCACAAAAAAAAAAAAAGGCACTCTGATCAACATTAAAGCCACAATATCTTTTGTACCATTCAGTACACAATGTTTGTCTTCAGCTGAGCTTGGAAAGGCTTAAGTAATAAAAAGGTTTAAGGCTGCTGGGAAAAGTGAACTTCCACAGGAATATGACAGGGATGAGGAGGTGGCAGCAAAACATCTCCCAAGACAGGGCACGTTCCACTACCCCTGAAGGGGAAATCTCTGTTTTACTAATATTCTTGCAAGCTGCAGCAGAATAACCTGGCATGTTTCACAGGTACCTTCTTGTAATAACCAGAGCCAGACAGATAACCTAGAGAGCATCCTATCGCTACGAAGTTCAGAAGAACTTAAGTTTGCTCAAGTACAGCTAGCCCAAAACACAGCTGAAAGCTTCGAGTAAGAAAAGGTACACTGCTCTGATTATTGTCTACTATACTGAAGCTATTTTAAATTAAAAAGAAAAATAAATCAAGCAAAAGTTGTTCTGTTTTTAATAAACTTTCAACATTAGTGGAATATAACAAGAAATTTCAAGCTATTCCCTCACTGGTATTAAAAGCGGCCAGAATCTGCATATTCAGCCAAAAGTAGGTTTTGATGCCTATGTTTTCCAATGGGGAGAGAGAAGAGCTGTCGTTCTGTATCCCCTGCCCTTTTGCCAAATCTTCCAGAGAGCGATATGACAATATGGAGATAAATCCCATCATCCTGGCCTACACTTTAGTGCCTTGATGTGAACAAGGTGTGGGTGGCTAGCAAAATCTTGCTAACGGTCTAGAATGGCAACCCTGTGGTAGCAGGGTTTCTCACCTACCCCATAGGTAATAACTCACAGCTGGGTAGCACTCAGCAGTCAGGTTCAGGATGGTCATGTCCTGTGTCTGTAGTTGACATCATTATAATTAAATTAACTTTTTAGAAAAGAGTATGCTGCTTATTTACATGTTCCTTTTCACCAGCTGTTACATTAAAATGGTAAAAATATTCTCAAATGGCAATTCTTTCAAGATATTATCTGGATTTAAAAAAAAAAAAAAACCACCACAAAAGGGACACCATTCTTTGGGCAGAGAACAGCACAAACCAGCAGATTGCTACTGCCAAAGCTTTATCAATTCTGTGCTATAAAGTTATGTAAAAAGAAAAAAAAGAAAAAAAAAAGGAAATCTGTACTTGCCCATCAGGTTTTCCCTCACGCTGATTTAACACAGAAGTCCTCCTCCAGGTTATTTCCACTCCCCTATTTTTCCATCCTTGTGCAATGTGCCAGCTGCTACCTTAGAAGGCACATCTTACAAATGCCCTCCAGAGGAGTGGAAATTTACTTGGGCACAACTGTTCCCATCTCTCTTGTGCATGGACTTAAACTGATTCATGTTCCTTGAAGATATCCCACTCATATTGCTTATCAGATGGAAGCAGAATGTCAAGTATTAAAGCTCAGTCCAAAATTAATTGTTTCCCTTTCCAATTCCACCCACACACTATACCACAAGCTCATGAAAAAAGTACAGCATCACTACAAAAACCTGAATTCAGCAGCCCGCGCACATACCAGAGTATAATATAGTGAGGGGAGCATGAATTAACAAGTACTAAAAGAGTGTTGGAGATTAAGAAAGAAACGAAGGCGCTGGCAGGGAGATGCCAGAATTCTTCAGCTTTGACAAGGTGCAAATTCTCTTTTGAGGTAATAATATAAACACTGATCTCCGGCTGGAATAAGTCACCTTCAGTTTTATGGGGTATTAAAGTACAATCCCTTGCTGGATTTCACTTCTCCAAGAGAGAAAACAGAAAAACAAACAAAAAAAAAGACTGTCCCAAACAATAGGCTAGAATCAAGGACATAGATCTAATTCAACAAAACAGCCCTAATACACAGTTACACGTATCCCCTATTTAAACCAGGAAGATTGTGATCTGAATTTCAACTTCCAAAAGCAGATGAAGAAAATTTTCTACTGAAAACTGCAAAAGGTTTGAATTTTTTTAACACCAATGCCTACCTCTAGCACATACAAAAGGTGAACATAGACAACCGCGAGAATACAGCATCTCCCAATTCCTCACCATTTTCTGAGGCAGTTTGGCAAACTTGGCTTGCTGGTAAGACACAGCCACCACTGAAAAATGTAAGCCTTCCAAAAACCTTAGGAATGTTCAACATTAAAAGGAGCAACATAGATAACTGCATCCAATGGCGAAGCAGCAGCAAATCAAAACCACTGTGCTTAGCTTGAAAGTACTGATAAGAGTTGGAAAGAATACTGCAGCTGCAAAAAGAGAAATCAAAATCTCCAGTTTGGCCTGTGCCCCAAGATCTCCATCAGCACAGAGAAATCAAAATACAAAATTTCTTCTTCAGTCCCTTCTGCAGAGACATGCCCTCAATTTCTGATCACCTAATCCTAAAATAATTCATGATTGTGGTAGCAGGTGTGTGAGGAAGAATCCTGCAAGCTAAGCAT